GGGGAAGACCTTCTGCCTCAGAGCTCATCTCAGCCCCCCCTCTGGCAGGTTCAAGCCATTCCCCTTGTCCTGTCCCTCCATCCCTTGTCCAAAGCCCCTCTCCAGGTTTCCTGCAGCCCCTTTAGGCACTGGAGCTGCTCTGAGGTCTCCCCAGAGCGGAGCAGAAGGAGGAGAATCCCCTCCCTCAACCTGCTGCTCACGCTCTGGGGGTGCAGCCCAGCACACCGGGGGGTTACACCTCCACGAAGCCTGTGGACCAAGAGAGGTGAATTTACCTGACCCAGAGCACTGGTAAGGCCGAAGAGGAGGATGTTGTAAATGACGCTGGGATATCGCTCCATGAAACTCAGGAACTCCCAGAGCTCTCCAGTGAACAGAATCCCTGCAAGAAAGATCCAAGGTGAGAAGCCAGAATGGTGAGCCCAGAGGCAGCCCGAGGAGCCCCTGCCCCCGTGGTGCAATTCCAGTTCACACTCACAACGACAGGAGCAACTAATGGTGAGGACTAAATTCCACACAGCGCAAAGCAAAGAGGAGGAGAAGCCATCACCTTCCCGGCTAATGAATGAAGCCATCATTAAACTGCACACCCAATCCCGACAGAGCAGCTCCCAGCAATTCCTTAGAGGTGCTACTCTCTGTCTGGAGCAGGAAGCTGCACTGATACTCGCTTCTCTGCTATGCAGAGGGGAGAAAGCGAGGTGGAGCACAGCGCAGGGCAGGTGGCTCAGCATGAGGCGATGTCCTCTAGTGGCCATGAGAAGATCTACACGGACCAGCGCAGGTTTTACATCCAGACAAAACCAACCCCAAAATGATGCATAACGTGCTTGGCAAAAGGTGCTGCAGCCCCGTTGCTGGAGCTTGGCCACTGCCACTGGGCAGCGTGTTCCTTACCAGCCCCCAGGAACAAGGTGGACCAGAGGTTAACGTTCAGCATCATGTGGTTGGAACCCGTTTGGTAGTGAGCTCTCATGTGGTCCTGAGACACCCCCGTCAGCCCGTCCAAGGTCAGCGACAGCAGCTGAGCGAAGACAAGAGGCGCTGAAGGAACCTTCCTTCTTTATCCCTTGTCCAAGAGCAAAACCTTGAACATTCTCCCCCAGGTTTACATCCCAATTCCTACTAAACAGCAACACGTGGTCTCAAAAGACCAGGGCCAGGAGGGCTGCAAATGCTCGTGCCCTGATCTCATTCCACGGCTTCGGAGCGCTCCCCTCAACCCCAGCGTCCTCCTTCAGAAGTGTTTCCACATCACTTCTTGGACACGCTTGAGGTCCAAAGGACACGGCCTTATCTGTGCTGTAACAGCCTGTTCCTCCTCGCCGCTGCTTTGGACTCACCAGGAGGAGTTCTCCGTAGCCAAAGACGTGCTCGTCGCTCCCCGCCGCCTTCTTAGGCTTGTAGAGGAACAGGGCGACGCCGGCCACGATCAGGAGGACACAGAGATATTTGGCTGGTGGGTACTTCTTCCGCAGCAAAGTCACTCCTAAAAGCATGACTGGAAAGAAACAACGTCACAAAGAGCTCCCAAAGCCGCCGGTGGGAGTTTAACTCACAGCTAAAGCACGACGTGCTCTCCCCGTGCTGCAGCTATGGAAGAGGGGAGGTGCTGTTCTGAGGGCTGAGGTCCTGGTTAAGGGTACATGAAACTCCCACAGGTGTATTAAAGAGGAACGTGAAGTTTCCTTACCTGGAATGGGCTTACAAGATTTGCCAAGGACCTGTAAAAGAAGGACAGGGTTAAATACCCACGTGCCATCACCTGGGAGATGGTGGCAGCACGAAGGTGACTGCTCAGGTTGTGCCTCTCCTACAACACACCCCAGATACTACAACAAGAGGCACCAAGAAAACCCCTCCAGAGGACAAGCGCTGAATGAACAGAGTCAGGAGCCACCTCGAGCCCTCCAACATCAACTTCCCCTCATCCCCAGGGATCGCTGTTCCCTCTGCGGAGCTCTGCAGCCGCTCTCTGCTGACTGAAGCGCAGTGATCCAGCCCCACAAAGCCCAGCCCTGAAACACCCGGTGGCTCCGGGGCCCCTTTCGTGCTGCACCTGCGTGGGGTAGTTGACGAACTGCAGAGCCGAGTTGCTGGACACCATCGCGCCCAGGTAGGAGAGGGAGCAGGCGGCGTAGAGCCAGCTCCGGGTGCGATCCACCTTGACAGCGTCGAACACATGGATC